CAGAGTCTGCCTCTTGCCCCGTAGGATCTGCCTTCTACTTTCCTGGTTCAGGTATTATGGTCGACACCTGCCACCCTTTCTGTGCTACTTGAAGCGTTTTTTCCTGCATTGTCTAAAGCCTCTGATAGCGCATGTACTCCCGCCTCGCTGAGTAGGCCCCTAAAAATAAGGATTCTCAAGGTGGATTGGAGATTAACTTAAGGTTAAATTACCCTGATAATTCTCATAGTCAAGCCCTTGCTTTATGGACCAGGTCTATGATGAAACATGTCTCCTGTTGGCCAACTAGCTCTAGTCTCCGCCTCATCTATTCTGCTTATATCTATAGTGCCCGGTCTTTGACTTTCTATGTCCTAGTCTCTTGTGTGCCAACCCACAAATGCTGTGGTTCTACATTGAAGCTAATCAAAACATGAGAATTACTCAGGGTCTTTAGCTCCAAATTAACCTCCCATCCAGTTTGTGGATTCTGATTTGTATGGGCCTTCTCGGCGAGGCGGAAGTGCACGTTCCATCAGAGGCTTGAGACAGTATTAGAAATAACACTTAAAGTAGTACAGAAAGGGTGGTAGAAGTCGCTTGAAATACTAGAACCAAGAAGGCAGGAAGCGGATCATACGGACAAGAGAGAAACTCTTATAGGAAGAGGATTGCGGAATATTATGGCAGATTCCGAGCCATATTCCCAACCCAAGGGTGAAAGGGGGTGAGGGGATGAGAGAGCCTGCGTGAGGTGCGGATAGTTTCACGAAATCTGCTCAAAAGGGCACACTATACCACATTTATATAAGCAATTAAGAAATTGTGATAGTGAAGTGGTGATATGAGGATATATATAGTATTGGTGAATAGCCCAGGGCAGAAGGAGAGATATCACAACTATTTAGAAGACAATTGGTCAAATGATCGACTTTACTGGTCTCTTTGACGAGTTGTAGTATGGTGCAAAGAATAGCAAGGCCCCCTGACGATTTCGGCAAAACGTCTTGGAATGTACCACGTCCACGATATGACTCTGAAAATTATAATATATATTATGGACTCCGGACTAGGTGCGTTCCTCTAGGTCTTTCTTTCAATTATTAGGACTCAATAAATCTTATGGAGTAGGTCCAGCCAAACAAATTAGAATATATGATAAAAAGAGATATTAACATACGAGGATATGTACCTTGTGAATATACAAGGGGAAGAGGAGAGATACTACAGCTGTTCAGCTGAAAGTTTATCGGGGTTAGACTTTACTTGGTGCTACGAATGGTAAAAGCCAATGGAGGTACATTATCTGATGAGGGAAATTAGCATGACTTCTATGGTAGCGAATAAGGACAATACGATTTCATCGAAGTCCCCCTGATATCACGACTAATTTGTGTAAAAAAGATCACATGATTTTCCTACAATGTAAAATGACCCTGACTAAACTAGAAACCATTATGTCTTAGTTTTCATATCATCGATTTGGTACTTTGAACTCACTATGAAAGACGGCATCCTAACAAAGATTTACCTAATCACCAGAATGCTGTAATGTTAGACAAAAGCACTTTGTCAATTGTCTAAATCATTAAGGCACAGGCTGAAAATCAATAGTGACTTTCAAAAGACGGACAAAATGATCTGTTCGACTTTGCCCTAGAGACGTTTTATTTGATAATGAACATGTGAATCTCGCTTAAACTACTTTAGACCTTATCCTCTAGTAAAGGTGGGACACGGCCACTTGAAGTGAGATTGAGTGAATAGGGAACAGGGCCCAGTGTTATCCGAGGCCCTTGATCATAAAGGAATAGTGATATAATCGTTTACCAAAATGCTGGTGTTTGGGATTGAGTTAACACCCATTGAAGAGTTATAGGTCGATGCTAAGTTCCACTCTGTTCACTTACGATGATAAAACCCTTTGCGAAATAAATGACTGAGAATGTGCTTAGTTTTACTAAGACTATACTTATTTAGTAGTCCGATAATGGAAAAATAGAGACAGAGGAAGAATTACTTATTATATACTTCACAGTCTCTTTGAAAGTTGGGTAAAACAGACCGGACTAATTCCAACCATTTTCTAATTTAGTGACCTTCACAAAATCCCTTTCTACTGCGAATTTGTTTACTTATACCTGCCTTATCATGTACTTTTAGGCAAAAAAATCCTTAAAAATTTTAGCAAGCGTCTGCTTTAAAATTAATTTTATTTCTAAATCCTCAAAACGTGGTTCTGATTTTAAAACCTAGAGATTGTACTTTTATCACAAAATACTAATAAATTTTAGACGCTAGCAATATTCGGATTTGATGTGTATCAATAAGTTATTTATCCTATAACTCTAACATTGAGGCGACTATTATAACCGTGTTTATTCTGTGATATTATCTCTTTTAAAGCTAATAGATATTCGTGACCACGATGAACATAAGGCCACCATTATCAATGGTGAATATGGCTCCGGTGGCCATAGAGTGCGTAGACGAACTTGTCTTCCAGCTCAGTCTTCCTCAGCTTCCTTAAAAGTAATGAATCCATATAACCCAACTAGCCGGGAGAAGATCAGTTTGGATGATCGTGAATCCAGTAGTCTGCTGACGTGTGCTGGTGGCTTATCGTCTGGCCAGGAAGAAGAAGATTGCCCCAGTTTGCCAGTCTGCTTTGGAGGAGGTTGGACTTGCTGGTCCGGCTGGACGACTTGCTACGTTACCCCAGATGCTCCACAACAGGGTTCTACACTTGACGAGGGTGCTGGAGACCGTATTAGCGGCTACGATAGAGGTGACCATACTGAAGCCAAATTGGGATGCGTCTGGCAGACCGGCGGAAGCCAGACACGCCAGCGAGTCTGTTTGATAAACCACGATGAGACCAAGGCTGAAGTTGAAGAGGTTCTAATGGACAGACACTGTCCTGGTGCATGGAAGGAGACACGGTCTTGTCTTTGGCTGATAAGAGGAGCAGAGAAGTCTTGTAAGCTAGGTGAGAAGGAACTTTTTTTGCAAAAAGTATGCAATTTAAAAGAGAATTGCAAAAATATAGAGATTCTATAGAGAAAAGAAGATAAAAAGAATACTCAGTGCTAGCAAAGGACAACGAGAGAGTAAATATGACAATGATGTTTGTGGGGAACAAAAGCTATTTCTAATGACAGCTTAATAAAAGTTATGAGATATCACTGTCTCGGATTTCCAGGATGCAGTACTAATATATGTATAGTATTCACCCGATTTCTTGTAAGGTAATAAGGGGACTAGTAATTGATATAAGTAGACATCGCGTAATACTACTATCCCTCCACAGTAGCAACTAATGTTTTTACAATATTGATCAAACTAAATTTTCGTTTAGGAAGATTTGTAAATCGAATCAGTGAGCGCAGTCATTTCTGATCGGACCTGTAACCGATCGCAAGCTGAACTGAATATTTCGCTAATGCCGTATAAGAACTTGTCACCTTAGGTCGACTGAGATGATACAAGGCCTGTTAGTTGAATTTTCTCACAATGATATGAGTAGAGCTGATATTTCCATTGAATTTCACATAGCCTTGCTTTCCAAAAAGATGGTCTCATTCAGGGTGGACTGCAGTTTCGACCTCACTTAGGTCTTATCAACACCCCCAGAGGTAGTCAAACCATGACAGTTTAGCATGTAATTTCGGCATGCTAATCACTACGCCATATTGTCAACAGTGCCATTGGGTCACAGGACAGATGTGAATCTTAAGGAATACCAGGCATTTTCCCATGAGTCTCATATAACTGATTTAATGTCAGTAATGCAGTTGATTGTCATGACAAACATAACTTTTCTGCTAATATATGAAGACCAAGATGGTGTGGCCTAAGATGTGTGGTGCTAGGAATGGCAAAACTCACTGATGATGCCGACTACGATGCTGGTGAAACGTCTGGGAATATATCACGTCCGCGGTCCGACTTTGGAAATTATAATGCATGCAATGGACTCTGAACTAGATGCGTTCCTCTAAGTCTTCCTACCAATATGACCAAGCTGCGAAAAAAATGTCAAACAACTTCTATAACTTTTATTCATCAAAAATCCTACCAAAGAATATGATATGGGAAAATAACTGGCATTTCCTAAAATTCATATCTGTCCTGTGACCCAATGGTACTGGTAACAATATGGCGTAGTGATTAACGTGTCGACATTATACACTGCACTGTCATGGTTTGACTCCCGCCGGCGGTGTTGATAAGACCTAGGCGACGTTTAAACTTCAGTCCATCCTGGATGTAAATACCTTTTGGGAAAGCAAGGTATGTGACATTCAATGAAAATGCTAGCTCTAATCATATCATTGTGAGAAAATTCAACTAATAGTCCTTCATCATCAACGAAATAGGGCGAAAACATCTCATACAACTAAAATAAAAAAATTTGACTGTCACCTACTACTTATAGCTTAACTTTGCCCACTTCAAGAATCATCCCATAAGTTAATAGGGTGCTTAAATCTTACCATACTCTTTATTCCAATACGTTGACTGATGTCTGACTTACTTATTGTATAGAAGTTGTTTGACCTTGTTTTCGCAACTCGGTCATATTGGTAGGAAGACTTAAAGAAACGCAC